TGCACCAAAAAGAAATTTTGATCTTGGCATGGAACCTTAAAGATTTTCCCCCTTGAATAGCCATGAGCTCCCCTAGAGATTCATTACAACCATCATCCTTTCCATTTAGTATTAGGTATTTTTAATCTTTCGTGCTACATCTGCAGCATTTTGGTAAACCTACATCCCATGACATCTCCTGAATGCTTCCTTTTCTTATAATCCATTCCGACTCAGCCAACAACAAAGAAAAAATTGTTTCAATCAGTTAGACTAAAACAAAATGAGGGAATTTTTTTAAAAATAATAGAAATCATCCATTTATTTGAAACAGTATTATTTAAGGCGTAAAGCAAACCGAAGCAACCAAGGCTCTTAAAGCCTAGGCAAGAAGTGAGAAGCGAAGTGAATTGTTTTACCGAAGCAAAGTGAAATGCTTTACCAAAACGAAGCGAACAGTTAATAAAAAAATAAATATTTTAGTTTAATTACTTCTAAACATCCAAATTCTAATTTTATATATACTAAATATTTAAATGCAAGTAAAACCATATAACATTTAAATTAAAAAAAACACTAATAAGGTGTTGTATTATTGTTAAAGTATATCAACCACAGCTGTTTTTGTAAATCTATTTTTATGTACAGTCGTGGACTTGTACACATACTAAATCACATTTCATAACAGAGTTGTAAACAATTTCATATTGACTGATGTTCAAGCTTGGATAATCAAAACAAAGAGTGACTATATGATAGAATAGCAGATACAGAACAGCACTATCATAACAGTAGAAACAATACAGCAAAACAACAGAAGCAGAAAAAAACAGAAGCTAAATCAGAAAAAAAAAAAACAGAAGCAGAAAAAAAATCTCAACATCAGACAATCAGCAGAAGTAGAAAAAAAAAATCAGAACTAGAACTAGAAGAGAGAAGAAGAACCAGAGAATAAGCAGAGAAACAGAAGAGAGAAAAGAAGAAGAACCAGAGAACAAGAGGAGAAATAGAAGAGAAAAGAAAAAGAGAAGGAGACTAACTTGTGTGTCTGACCAACAGTAGTCGTCGTCGTCTGTATTCAGCGAGGAAGGAGCAGCAGAAACCAGCAATCGTTTCTAATCATCTTAGCAAAATTAAGGTTCGGGGGTTGTATTTATGGGATAAGGGGATAAATTTTGTGTATGGACATCTAATAATTTTTTTTCTAATTGTCCAATCCAACGGTCCATAATAAAAATAAAACAATCCAAGACAATTTTGCCTCGCATGACTAAGGCGCTCGCTTTCTCACCTTTCGCTTAAGCACAAGACGCTCGCTTTTCTTGCTTTTTTCTCGCTTCAGTCACATTCGCTTTATCTGGGGTGCTCAAGGCGAGAGACCCTCGCTTCGCTTCTCGCCTAGGCGAGTTTTTCAAAACACTGATTTGAAACATTTCCTTGTCTGAATTCTAGTAAATCACAACCTTCTAGGATGACTGAATCAAGAGCAGCATTAACGCAGAGAAGACGAGTCCAAGAATGGAAGGCTCAAAGAAACACTTAAAAGAGTTTTGTGGGAAAGTAGGCTTGCAAATGGTGCGATATAGGCGTAGGGGTGGTGAAGTGATGCTTTGTTCTGCAACTAAGCTTTACTCCATTCTATGTGGTACAAATTGTGAAGGTTATTTTAGGATCGCAGATCAATAGTGATTCTGTTAAAGGTCTACAGCGACTCATCGCCAGCTGAGAAGAGAAAGCTAGCTGCCATACGTTTGGCATTATCTTTGCATAATATGCATTCAAGCACATTAATATTTAAAGGATTCGACAAAAATATTTTTAAAAATTTTGTTTGATCAAACCATTTACTTTGAATTTCTCTTCTAATGCATATCCGCACACCTTCTAGAACTCTGCAAGTTATTGCAGCAAGTAAGACCCAATCCTACATTTCAAAAACCGATCCAATTGGAGACCTTCCCAACATCAAACATCATTAACTTAACTCAGTTTTGACAAGTGCAAATCATACTTAACATAAAGCCTCCATTGATAAAAAAAGTTCAAGCTTAATCATGATCTTTGTACACATTTACTTTTACGTCACACTACATATCCTATCAAAAACATCATGATCCTAAACAGCTGAATCAACATCTCAGCGCAAGGAAACTGGCTCCAAATAATGACTTTACTAAAACATAGGTAACCATACAGGTAACTAAATCTTTACAGAGATAATAGACGAGATAAATCCTACTCGTATTGCATAACTATAATATCAACAGAAAACTTTTGGAAATTGCTGAACAGGTTAGCCAGATAGAGCTAGTATGCAAGTACACAAAGGAGGTCAAAGACAAACAGCAGTGAGAATTTAACATGTTGTATCAACAAATTTGTGCCTAAATGAATCACAAAATACCTCAATTGTACAGTCCCACCTCTAAAACTCGCCTTCCAGTAAATGATAATTGCCCAACTTGGACTTCTGAGCAAAGACTTCTAACTAAATCTAGTGAACCTTCCCACAGTTTCAGTCCACCTGCGGCAAAAAACAAACCCTTTTAATATGTGCATTCATGTTCAATCTACATCAATTCAGTAACACACTTTGTTCTCATTTTCCAAGCAAATTTTAACATACCTTCATATTTTCCCGGAACTAAATCTGAGTTGGACAGTGAAAAAACCTCTTGAGTACTCACTCGTCCCTAAAGAAAATGCCACATTTAGTTTAAGTTAATCAACCTAGAATTACTGAAACCCATACATTCTCGATTTTACAAAAGAATCATCTGTTTGGTTGCCAAGAACATTACTTATCTCTGATTTTTACTGTCGAAATAAAACAAATTATACAACCATATGGATAGATTAAGATGGGTCTTCATCAGTTTTAAAGCCAAAGCAACATGACCCATAAAATACAAAACTTTCATCTGTTCTCATTCACTTTCCTGTGCTTTCTCAGCATCCAAACAATAGGTTTCAGATAATAATTACCTTGAGCAAAGTAAGCCCATCTAAACTCACGGGCTCCACAGTGTATTTCACAGATGATGAAACCTATGCCACATCAAAAGAGCCAATTAGAACACATATACATATATTCTTTCCATGCATATATGAGTTATTCTGTGTGTATTTGTATGATACCTCTGAGGGAAATACTTCAAGGCAAGGTGGTGGAAGAGGGAGAGGCTTTTCTGGGGAATCGAGAAAACCTAATCCTGAACGAGCTTTGTCATCTGATGAAGAGAAGAGACGAAATGTTTGGATTTCTGATGGTTTTGCCTCCATTGCTCACTTCTCTCTGAGCTTCAGTGTTCAGTTCCAGAGGCCAGAGAACAAGTCTTATGGGTCATTTGGGTTTTGGGTCGCTATTAAATTGGGCCTGACTCGACTCGACGGCCCGTGAGGTTTTTGAACGTGAAAATTGGATTGACTCCTGAAGGACTTACAATGAGCTTACTCCATAAGAAAATTTATGAAAAAATTGTGAAAATATACACCATAAGTTATTTATCGAGAAATTTGGAAGTCGGTCCTCTTATATAGACTTATTAATTATTTTTTGTGCCTGAAGGCACAGAATAATAAAAAATGGTAAAGAATAAATATATTCGTATTTATATCAAAAATCAAATCACAAACATAAAAAATAGATAAATAAATTTAAGTATCGATTTGTAGTGACGGTGAAAGGTGGTGGGCGGCAATAGTGGTGGTAGGAGACGGTCATGCTTGTAGTGGATGGCAATGACTTTGGTGGTGGTGGCGGCGATGATGGTGGCAGTGGCAACGGCAACAGTGGCGATAGTGGTGGCGGCAGTGGGGATGGTGGTGGTGATGGCGGTGGGGATAGTGGTGGTAGAAATAGTGGTGAGGCGGTTTCAAATACTATTTTTTTTTAAAGTATTTATGAGAAATAATTTCTAGAAGTATTTTAAAAAAGTTACTCCAAACACACCCTTAAGGCCCTATTTTTTTCTATTAAATTTAGGGTGTTAATATTAGTCGTTAGATTAACTTTAAATTAAAATTTAAAGCGATCTCAACCGCAAATAACAAAAATCATTTTGTTTATCTTTTGAAATTTGAATTATAAATTATTTTATTATATACTAGTTATTGTCTGTGTCTGAAGGCACAGAGTAATAAAAAATGGTAAATAATAAATATATTTATATTCATATTCAAAATCAAATCACAAAGAAGAGAAAAATAAATTTAAGTATTGGTTGTAGCAGGGTTGAGGGGTGGTAGGCGATAGTGGTGGTGGTAGGAGACGGTGATAGTTGTAGTGGGCGGCAATGACCGTGGCAGGGGCGATGGTGGTGGTGCTGGTACTGGTGATGATGGGGGTGGGGGTGGGGGTGGCGGCAACGGCAGTGGTGGCGACAGTGGCAGCGGCAATGACGACAATAAAGGTACTAGTGAAGCGGTTTCAAACACTATTTTTTTTTAAAGTACTTATGAGAAATAATTTTTAAAAATATTTTTACAAAATCACTCCAAACACACTATTAAAAATCTATTTTTTTCTATTAAATTTAGGGTGTTAATATTAGCCGTTAGATTAATTTTAAGGTAAAATTTAAAGCGATCTCAATTGCGAATAACAAAAATCATTTTGTTTATCTTTTAAAATTTGAATTGTAAGTTACTTTATTATATAGATATATTTGGAGATAAGTTCAGTAAAGAAATTCATTTGGTTTTAAGTTCATTTTTTATCAAGTTTACTATTGTACTCTTATTCATTAGAAAAATAATAATCGATGTCTGACTTACCGTCTCTTTCACTCAGATTATTGAGGTATATATGTCTTTATTAAGTTATATATGAAAATCGTTTATTAAATATTTGGATAATTATCAAAAATTTTATATGAAAATTATATATTTTGATAGTTATATATAATATTATATACGGAAGCTTGACGTATTTGGGAACACTCGTATCAAAACTCTGAGCTATAATGTGCACAGGATTATAATCTTTCTGTGATACAGTCTTGCTAGTTTTCTGTAAGAGGATGATGGAGAGAGAATCTTCGGACGAATATGAAGATCAAGAGAACCTAATCGACCAAAATGAAAGACCAGGTAAGTCTCCCCCCAAACACTCGACTTTCCACGTTGACGATTTCAAGAACAGGATCACCGAAAACCGTCGGTTTAGCTCCAATTAGAGGTTTCTTTTTGCCATTTTTCTCCCACTTTTCATCATCATAGTTTACTTCTCCACTGACATTAAAAATCTATTCCAAACCAGAGTTTCCGACCTCAAATTCGATGCTTCCATAAATCGCATGCGCGAGTCTGAATTACGCGCTTTGTATTTGCTGAGAGAACAGCAATTTGGGCTTTTCAATTTATGGAATTATACATTTGGTACCCAATCAAATTTTACCGCACCAAATTCTATGAACTCTAGTGCCAATAGTACTGACTCGAGTCCGGCATTACATGATCTTTTTTCGCCTTTATCATCTCCTGCATTGCTAGAGGATCTCAAATCTGTGGTGCTTAATCAGATCAATTTGAATAAACAAATTCAGCAAGTTTTGTTGTCATCGCATCAATCCGGAAATTTCTTGGATGTAGCTGATAATGTTACGGATCCGAGTCTTTATGTGGGCGTGAATAGTTGCCGAAAAGTTGATCAGAACCCTTCCCAAAGGAGAACAATTGAGTGGAAGCCGAGATCGAATAAGTTCTTGTTTGCAATTTGCACATCTGGGCAAATGTCGAATCATTTGATTTGTTTAGAGAAGCATATGTTTTTCGCTGCGGTACTTAGTCGTGTTTTAGTTATTCCGAGCTCCAAAGTTGATTATGAGTTCAGTCGTGTCTTAGATATCAATCACATAAATAAATGCTTGGGGAGCAAAGTTGTTGTTACATTTGAAGAGTTTGCAGAGAATAAAAAGAAACATTTGCACATAGATCGATTTAAATGCTATTTCTCCTTGCCACAACCTTGTTTTATGGATGATGAGCGCGTTAAGAAGTTGAAGGGGTTGTTGGGATTTCTCCCGATTTAAATTCACTAACAAACACACACAATCGAAGAACAAATCAAGAATATAAAGCAATAAGAAACAAGAAAGAACAAGACACAGATTTTACGTGGTTCGGCAATTTGCCTACGTCCACGAAGCTGCAGGGATTTCACTATTGAGAGAGTTGAATACAGAGAGCGGCTGTACATCCACGATTCACACTAATTACCAAAACAACAGGGTTTATATGTCCTACGCACTGGGCTGTATAACGGGCCCAAAAAACCACACAACATTATTTCGGGTCGGGTCATCATCCGGATCACATATACAAACTAGACTCCATAAAAAAAACCAACAGGGGTAGGGGATTTCAATGAATAAACTTGAGTCTGCTTGGGTTGAGGATGTTAAGAAGCCAAGAAAGAGGACAGTTCAAGATGTCATGGCAAAGTTTTCTATTGATGATGATGTTGTTGCAATTGGAGATGTATTCTTTGCTGATGTTGAGAAAGAGTGGGTGATGCAGCCAGGTGGTCCTATTGCACACAAAAGTAAGACTCTGATTGAACCAAGTCGTCTTATCATGCTCACTGCCCAGCGATTCATCCAAACATTCATGGGAGGGAGCTTTATAGCACTTCATTTTCGGCGTCATGGGTTCTTGAAGTTTTGGTATGGTGTTCTTTCCCTTTATTTATTGCTTCCATGTTTAACAGGCTTGCTTCTACCATCTTCTGATCAACAGTTTTGAAACATGTAAAACTTTAAATATGCATTACCAGGTAATGCTTGTGGGTTTTAATCCTTGTAGTCATTCTTAGGTATTTCTATCTCGTTTTACTCTTATACCAATTATATTTCTGTATATTCGCATTCATAGAGATATGCATCACAATGCCCCTGACAATTCTTACTTTATTTTGTCAGCAATGCCAAAAGTCTAAGTTGCTTTTATCCCATTCCTCAAGCTGCTGCTTGCATTAATCAAGCAGTTGAAAGGGCCAATACTCCAGTAATTTATCTTTCTACAGACGCTGCAGAAAGTGAAACTGATTTATCGCAGTCCCTTGTTGTGCTAAATGGGAAGATTGTACCACTTGTGAAGAGGCCAGCTCGAAATTCAGTTGCAAAATGGAATGCTCTGTTATATAGACACAGCCTTGATGGAGATCCTCAGGTAAACATGATTTCTTTTCTATTTTTTTAGTTCAAATATACATAACAAGCCATTATCCAATATTACATATACATGTCTTTGTTCTTTTCATTGGATGCATACCATCAATAAACCTAACATTTACAACCCGTTTTAAATATATTGTCAATTATTTGGGAAGTATGTTGGGGTTAGAATGCATTTAGTTCAACTAGTTGGTGCACGTGCGTTGAATGCCAAATATTTTGAATTTTTGTAAAAAAAATAGATAAATTGAACAAATTTTCTTTGTATATAGAGATAATTATATATTACATGATGGTTATTGAATTTTATGGGTTCACTTGTCCACTTGTTAGTGGACAGTTACAGAAAGTGGCACTGTTAACATGGGGTACTTGGGACTCTCAAGATTTTTCTCGTATTTTGAGTTATATGAACTGAATTGCATAAGGTTCAAAAAAGAAAAATGAATTGCATTGCATTTAAAAATTGTAATGTTTTACTTCAGTAAGTGATTAATAGATGGATGATTACTGATTTTTTGGACTAATAAGAAGTTACTACAATAGGTTATTATTGTCTTTTTAGCTTTTTAAGGATAGTATTATCAATTAAGTTTTTTTTTTGACAAGTATTGACATTCAAAAGTAGTATATAGATTATTAGATATATTCAAATATTTATTTTTTAGCGAATTTGGATATGCACTATGTACCTACAAACATATACAAATATATGATGTAATTTGGTGATTATTTAATAAAATTGAGTAGAAATTCAAGTGTTAAATGTTAAAATCGTCTCTAATTAATTTATTCGAATCAGAACAAATATCTATTTTAACGGACTCATATATGCACTGTGAAAAATAAAATTTATTGAACAATTGAATTGGATTCGAATCACATTGTTTAAATCAGATTTGAATCATTTTATATTGTTTGGAAAAAAGATAATCAAAAGTCAAATAATGAATTTATTAGTTCAACTAATACAACTAATAAAAAAATAAAAAATTCCTCAAAAAATGATATAATAGACATTATAGAATTTTTGAAGGATAAATAAAAAAATCAAAAGTTTTCTCTTAAGCCACTTTAAAAAGGTTAAAATAAACATTATAAAATTATTGAAAGGTAAATAATGAAATCAAAAGTTTTTCACTTAATTTATTTTTATTAGTAGTATAGATTTGCTTCTAGAATTTTCCATCTAGTATATAGGGCGCCTTAAATGTTGGGCCTTTGTTGCTCTCTTTTCAAATTTGATGCAAAGCATGTATAATAGGCTGCTATATCTTATTAAATCAGATCTAACCATTATATTTGTGAGGTTACGAGGCAATCTTTCCACTGCACCTATAATGACCATATATGTTGGTGTTAATGTAAAAGGATTGAATCTTTGGTTTTTCATTTTATTAGCTTATACGAATCCATAGGCTGTTAAAATAAAAACAAAAATTTTATTTTGGATCATTGCTTCTTTCAAGAGATGGAATTTTTTGCATTTTATGTTGTGCAATTTGAGTAAACTTGTTGTCTAAGAAGTCCAGACGCGGATACGATGCGACACGGACATGCAAACACGATATTTTTCAAAAACATAGGACACAAACACGTTATATATAATTGTGTTTTATATATAAAATTATATAATTTATCAAAAATATAGTGTTAATGATATATTATTTATACAAAATTTAGTATTTTATGATAAGTATATGTTATCTCTAATCTATGAAGCACGGATACGGGTACGATACAGATACGACAAAATCTAAAAAAGTAGGATGCGGGTACGGTCAAGATACGAATATAATAAAATATATTTAATATTTTTATTATTTTTAATATTTATATATTTTGGTAGTTCTTTAACACAATAAGAAAAATTAATAATTTTTTTTTAATTTCAAAAAAATCACTACAACAAAAATCGTTTTTTGCGATGATTTTTTTCGTCGCTAAATTAAAAAAAATCATCGCCAATTGTTTTTTGCAACGTTTTTTTTTCTCCTCGTGTTCGTCACAATAGCCTCGTCGCATAAAATATTTTGCGACGTAAATTTATTTTCATCGAAAAAAAAAAAAATTTGCGACGAAATAAAATTGTCGCTAAAATATATTCCACCAGAGTTAGAAAATAAAAAATAATAATTTAATTAATTTTTCGCGACGCAAAAAAATTGTCACGAATAATTTTTTACATATATAGAAAATAAAAAATAATAATTTAATTAATTTTTTGCAATGTAAAAAAATCGTCGTGAATAATTTTTTCATAAATAAAAATGTAAAAAATAATAATCATCTCCAAGCTCAACACTATCCAGGATCTGCATAATCAAGCTGACCACCACACACAACCAGTCCATTAAAATAAATCTATCAAATACATGGAAAATATTAGAACTTAAAATTTATAGGCCATCAAGAGAATTCAAAGTAAGCTCTATCATTTAACAAAACAAATCTATCAGATGATATCCAAAATAAATTGATCTAGAGAAAATATTGTATAAAACGAACACATGGAAAGATTATAGGTACATACATATTCATGAATATAGACGGTGAGAATATGTTTGTTTTAAGTGTCATTCAACTTGTCAATAAATTTAGATAGAACCATGGCTATAAGTATAGCTGGATTAGCTCATGACTTACTACTGATGGCGTTAGGACTCACAGATCTGTAAAGAGTAGGGTATCCTATGGTTAATTAGTTATATCCACTACCTATGCACAAACAAGAGTGCCACCGCCTCTTACAACCAATAAAAGAATATTAGCCGCCTCATTTTGTCCCCTACAAAATTCTCTAGAGCTTCTGCGTCAATTACTACACTCATAAATGTCACAGTACTGATTTACACCAATACCCCTCAGAATTAAATTATACCATAAGTAGCCCTGAAATTTAAGCATCGGTATAACAAACAGAAAAACCTGCTGCTACAACCAATACGAGGAATCATTCAAATTTTGATTGGTTGGATAGGCAGCACGTTTGAATTATAATTTACATACACGTGAACAGTTTAAAATTTTTGATTGTTTGACAAGTTTTGAAACAAATCATCCATATAGTGCCCTTGATCCACCGAATCATTCTAATTTTTGTTATAGTGGTAACACAAGAGGTGCACTGACATTTTCTACAAAAGTAGAATCCTATGAATTACCACGTGCCCAACCCATGGCACAGACTAGTATTCGTAAAAAAGGCCACCAGACACCTGGTGCGTAAACACTGACTTAGAATCAGAAAGAAGCATGTTGATATGTACTAATTGAATCAGGAAGTTGTAGTTCTTACCATTGGAGCTAAGAATAATGAAGCATCTGCAACCCGAGAAGTAACAATAACATTGGGTTTGTACCTTTCCATACATTCAACAACTGGAGTAGCTCCCATATAAACACTAGTGCCCTGCGTAAATAAAACAGAAAAATATCAGCCAATTTTTTATTTACAAGGGAAAAGAGGAGGATGGAAAAGGAATAACAGGAAGTAAATGCTTCAAGTATAAAGAAACAGGGAGACTCAAATTCTCATCTGCAGGTCCCCACCCCCTCGCAGAAGGGGCAAAATGATAGAAGCATACAAGTAGAGGAAGAATAATTGCAAGAGTAAGCAAGTCAATATGTGCCCACTTACGCAGGATGTCCATAGACCACAACAGATATTTGGCATGACATGGCAACTTATAGCATGAGTCCAGAAGTATAAATTAATGGAGCAACTCGAAACTAATACTGAGGGGGGTACCAAATTCTTACATCGTCAGCATCTCAGGTGAGGATCCAAACCTGCAGATGCAACAAAAACAGAATGGTCTTATTTCTGCTGTTCTCTTTAACTTTTCTGCTGCTGATAATGGAGCAGTGGTGTGGGAGATTGTGTGCTATGCTGCTTATGCAGTATTCCTGTGTTGCTGCTGGTACTTGCTGAGCTGATATGTGCTGAGAAGGAGCTGATCTGTAATGCTGTTGCAGCAGGAGCTGAGCTGGGAAGGCAGGAGCTGGGTTTGTAGTGCTGAGCTGATGTGGCTGACTGTCAAAGTCTGCTGCTGGAAGTTTAAGCTGGTACTGGGCTGGCCGACTTAACAGGAGCTGACTGGAGAAGAGGAATGCTTTTGCTGTGTGCAATTCATTCAACGATATGAATACCTAACACTATAAAATGTACAAAAAGCAAATACAAACAGATATAACTAATTTACGATGGCAAAATCCAAAGAGAATGATGTTCTGCGACAAATATCCCTGGGAAAGAGAAATTATCCTTGGGGGCCATTGTTCTCAACAAATAGGCATCTCATCAGAACTAAAAAAGAAAAAGAGAAGGGGAAACAATGAGCAAACTTCAGAGAAGATAGCATCTCCTGTGCCTCACAAAATAATTGAATTTTGTAATGAATAATGAATTTAGACTTCTTACAAACAAGAACAAATTGAGATAGCAGCACTGACTTGGCTGCCTTTTAAACTTCAAATGACAGAATGGATGAGATAAAGAGTTTTCAGAAGGATTATCTCCAAACTAGATTATATTCTATTTGTAACCTGATTAGTTAAGTAAAACATATGAAAAGAATTGAGATGAAGAATGAAAACGTGTCAAGTAGAAAGATACTTTCGTATACAGCATCCTCATTTGCTACAAAAGCATACCATAATTTATGAAGTTCAGAATCCCCTCAGCAGAAATATTGAGAGTTGGCTGCAAGAGAGGACCAGTCACATAGCCTGGATGTATCGTCACCAAGTCAATCCCATTCTGTTTTGCAAATTTCCATGCAGCTTCCTCGGCCAAGGTTTTCGATACCATTTACCACAGCTGATAAATGAACCAAAGTTTAATTAGCAAAAAATGAAGGGTATTAAATCAAGTTAACTTCTCTCCAGCTATATTTTTAAATGACAACACACGTAACCACAAAATAAGCTTCAATGTTTTTGCTGTCCGAATTCTAATTTCTTCTGAAAGAAAACAGCCTTTGTGGCCTTTTCCCATCTGTATTTTCAAGATCTCTTTCTGGCCTTAAACTAAAAAGAACCATCTTGATGGACATTGTATAACACTAGATGATTCAGCCAATGTTTTTTTTTCGGTAAGTAATGACTGCATGAACAGAAAGAAATTACATGTATACCAAGTATACCCATTGATTTACAAGCAAATACAAGAAACAGAAAACCATGCATACTCCACACCACAGTACACAGGATGACAGGTCTTCAACTTACGAAGACAGGTCTTCTGCTAACATATTTCTTTAGCCATGGCAATAAACAAAGAAATACAAGAGTCATGGTGAACTCAATGGTTCATGTATCAGCTAATGCTAATAAATCCAAAGCTAAGCACAACATCCAAAAGGTTGTAATGAAAGAACAGTCATACAATGATGTAAATGAGCACAAATGCCAAATTTTAGTACATAATAATAAAGTCCAGTTGTTTGATTGTGGCTTCCGCAACTGCCACAATTTCTAATTTAAAATTATCCTTTGTCGGAAAGGGAAAAGAACTTGTAATTAATTTCTGTTTGGGCCTTTATTAGTTGACTGCAAAAAATTGATTGCTTTCATATCCATTCTCGTTCATATGATTGTCTTCCCGCTTTATTTTGTTTTTTGTGAAATAACTCCACATCACCTAACGAGGATGCAATTGATACAACTTCAGAAATTCTAAAAAGAACATAAAGAAAGAAAGAAAATTGTAGCAGCAGAAATGAAGCTACATTTTGATCTTGAGTCCAACACTAATATCAGACTCCAAACTACATACATACCTTATGTCTATATTCAAGCTCACTTTCTGGTCAAAATAAAATAAAATTCAAGCTCACTTCAGTACACTGATACACCAGTCACTTAATGATAACGTTTTCAAATTTGAGAACCAAATCCAAAAGTTAGTAATCAAAGAACAGGTATATAATGATACAATCGAGCAGAAAAATGCAAGATTTGAGTATAGTTTGATTGTGACCTCCGCGGCTTCGATTGCTTTCATGACCTGAAACAACCCATCCTTCTTGTTGTTGACATCACTACTAATCACAGCCAAGCCAGAAAACTTATCCGCCAAACTCCCTTCATATCCTCCACCACCTCCATTTTCCATCTTCCTTCTTTCAGTTCAAATTTCAATTATAATCAATCTCAAAACTTTACCAAAAAAGAGAGAGAGAGAGAGAAAGTCAGAGAGAGATTCACCGACCATTTCGATTGAACAAATAAACCGAAGGGAACATACAAACACGCGTGCACAAACACATGTTATATCTGTATTGAGCATGTATCGGGCTTTAGAGGTTTTCCATTGTATTTAACGGAAGCCATGGAGGATGTTACTACCACCCTTTTGATAGATGAAACTTTTGCACAGGATGTCAGGACATTAAGTGTTCCCTTCACAGCAGGCTCAATTAATTCTGCCTGAAACATGGAAATCAAATGATAAGCTGCCCTTTACAGTTTATCAAAATAAGCCAATAAAATCCTTTCCTCTACTGTCATGTCACTACCAGCTTTCCCCTGCAAAAAATTTCATTGATCGCTCTAAACTGTTAGCACCCTACTAAAGACCAAACTAAAATATTTTGAGATTGAATGAATAAATTCAGTGGAAGTAATCAACTGGTAACTCACCTCTTTAATTTCATCAAAACCAATAAGCTCAACCTCATATAAAATATCTGCCATGGGAGGAACATTTGGAAACGAGAAGTTTCCTTTTTTGCCATAGCCCAATTCCCAACCCACATGTAAACAAGGCACGTTCACCAGATTAGATAACTGGAGAGTTATACGGACAAGCACGTTATGCAAATACACAGACAAATTTATGTGAATTGACATCCATGTAATTCAAAATGCAAAAACACACACATAAACTTAGGTACACTGATATTCAGAAAATCCACTGGAACTAACACCCAAATCCCATTCCAACATATGATGGTTTAACTGTCTTGTACAAACTTGTACATTATATGATGGTCCCTGTACCTCGCAACAAATTTTTTGTTGATGGTAGATCCCTTCTCCTTTCCGGTTCATACGCACATAACTCATTCTCAAAATAAGGAACGTATCAGAATCTACTGTATGTTTGCAAGATATTCTGAAACAGCAAGAACCCATTTCTTCCTCCCACTCTCATCACCATTCCAAGAAAGATTTAGATAGAAAACCACCACAGGGCAATGTAAATTCCATCATGAAAAAGATGGTGCTGTGTGTTTGGACGGTGACACTACAGCAAAAGGCTTAGTCAGCTCATGTCTTTTTCATTTGGTAGGAGGGAGGAAGAGTTTTTTACCAAACCCGTGTGGTTTGGGAAAAAAAATTCTAGAACAGTTCTAAAAATAATTTTAAAAATATCGGTCCAACAAATGTCTTTAGATTAAAAAGTCAATTAGACTGACATCTTCGACACAAAATAAGAGGCAAGGTTTGATGTCTTCCTCCCTTTGCCGCATGTAACTTTCAGATATTGTTAATAAAGTTTCGCCCTAATTGACTATAATATTTTTTTTAAAAAACATGTTACAAGTGTGTACTGCTATGAGTTTTATTTCATCATTTTTATTGTTACTTGATTTGAACACGCCATTTTTTTAATTTAAACCTCGGCTATGCAAGGAGGAGTTTTTGAATAAAATCAGAATTTGGAGATCTAGTTTTTTTTTTTTTTTTTTTTTTTTGGGGGGGGGGGAGGTTGCACTTTCGGTCTTTATCCTTTATTTGGTTAAATTACAATTTTAAGCAAATTTTCAAATTTCAAAGAAACCTAATTTCTAGAATGATCAGTGTCAAAAATCCATTATGGAGGAGATTTCGGATTTTTCTGCCCTTGAAAAAGATTCTTTATTTAGAGGAGACCTTTGAGGTAAAGACTTATCAACACGGTAAATGTAAGTCCATGATTTTGTGAAAATCTTTATATGATAAACTCTAACAATCCCTTCCCACCCGTAATAATTTTTAAGGAAGCCACACAAGGAAATCTCATGTATCCCAACAAATAAGCCACAATTGAATACCCAAAAAATACTCCATTGGTGTCCCCTTTTTTACATAACAAAGGCAGTAAATAGATAAATAAATATAGTCACATAGAACAATAAAATTAAAGCAAATCCCAGGAACTCTCCAAAATAGAGCAGGTACAAATTCACAGAAATGCAAATCACCCCCAAAAAGGATAAAAATATAACAAACAGCCTTTACACAACAAAGATCCAATGTTTACTCAATACCCATCAAAGTCACCAAAAGACAAATAAAGGAAAAACTAAAAACGAATACACAGAAGCTTCTTGCCACTAAAATTTGCGATCAATTTTACAACTACAAACCAACCAAATACAATAAGAGCTGAATTTGTGGGGGAAAACAAGATAGAAATTCTAATTCGTCTTAGTTACAAAGAGAGATAAGAGAGAGATGTAAACGATGAACCTGGTGGGTGAAACCAACCGTGGACTGAATCGATGGAGGCGGGGACGATCGATGGTGCTTGTGGCTTCACTGGCTTGTGGCTTCGAGTTCAATCGATGGAGAGGCAGAGAGAGAGGAGGTGGCGAGAGTGGAGTGAATCGATGGAGAGAGAGAGAGAGAGAGAGAGGAGGCGGTTACGATCGATGGTGCTTGTGGCTTTGAGTGTAATCGATGGAGAGGGAGAGAGGCAGTGAGAGGCAGAGTGTGTGTGTGTGTGTGTGGCTTTGAGTGCAATCGATGGAGGGAGAGAGACGCAGTGAGAGGTAGAGAGTGTGTGTCGACTGAAAACGAAGAGGGAAAGATGGGGAAAAAAGAGGGAAAGATGGAAAAAGAGTTGGGTAATGGAAAAAAATCAAAAAAAAAAAAGGCAAAAAATGCTCAAAACGTCGTTTTGTTTTTTAAAAAAATTATATTCGGCTACGAAAATAAATACGTCGCGATTTAAATTTTTTTTTATTTTATTTCAACTTTAAATGTAGTTATAATTTATATTCTGAACGAAAATAAAAAATGTCACAAATTAAAATTTTGTTTTATTTTTAATATTTCCGACAAACTTATAAATTTTTTCGATAAACTTATAAATATTCTGGACAAAATTATAAAAAACGTCACGAATTAATATTTTTATTTTATTTTTACTTTAATAACTAAAATTAACATTCTACGACGCAAAATATTTTCCCTAAAAATATTTTCACATACCAACATTACTTTTTTCCCCTTTTCCACATTATGCCACGTTTATGTATATCGAATACAAAGAGTATAGAAAATCAGTAAAATTTGTCCCTCCCACGACTTGTCCAATACCTCTACCATATTTTCACTTGGGATTAGGTCAATTTGAAAAGCAAAAAAGTGAAAAAAAGAAGAAAAAAAATTCAGGGAAAACCCCTATTTTCTCTGCCGACAGCTACCAAACTGACACTCAAGACAAAATAGTTTTCCAAATCCACAGAGTAATAGTTAAGGAACAAGAAATTAGTCACCCAAAACCACTAATCCAAATAACTTAACAAAGTCATTGCAAATATTTAAGAAGTTAAAAAAAACACAAAAAATATGAGATTCACAAGAATCATACAGAGTCTGCACTTTTCATGTGGAGATGCAAAAATTCACCTAGTAATTTTCCAATAGGATCTTTACCTCAACAATGGGAGGGTAGGAAACAATCTGGTTCAAGAGTGAGGGCAAGAAATACCTCGATTTGCAGGGGGAGGGGAACAAAGTGAATAGCGAGGATGAGAGAAAGGCAGTATTGTGTGTGTCGACTGAAATAAGCAAAGAGGGAGATATTGGGAAAGTGAGAAAGAGAGGAAAAAAGGATGGGCAATGGATCTCGATTTATATAGGTAGTTTTTTTTTTAATGTCCAAAACGATGTCATTTTGAATTTTTTAAAAATTATATTCTACGACGAACATAAAAACGTCGCAATTTAATATTTTTATTTTATTTTAACTTTAAATGTGGTTATAATTTATATTCAGCGACAAAAATAAAAACGTCGCAATTTAAACGAGATTAATGTTTAGTGAATAACACGAAACACTATTTAGTGAAATAAAATGAATACGAATCATACAAATTCAATATTTAGTGAACAACACAGAACAACAATTTTTACTAAATAATCTAATACTAAATAACGTTTGGTTTAAAAAAATATACTAAGAATATAAATAACCAAGAAAAATGATATAAAATTAAAAGTAGTATTATAAATTAAAATCATACAAATTCAATAGTCAATTTTATTTTTTTCCAAAATCAATAAAAAAAAGTAGAACTTACAAAAAATCTAATTTAACAAAGAAAATATGATTAACATGTAAAATATACGAGATTAAATTTAAGTTATTGGACAACTCAGATAACAAGAAATATATTAAAGAAAATATGTTTAACATTTAAAATATACAAGATTAAATTCATATACAAACACAAATCATACAAATTCAATATTTAGTGAACAACACAAAACAACAATATTTACTAAATAATCTAAATCTAAGTATTCGAGAAAAATGATACAAAATTACTATGAACACGAATTATACAAATTATATTCTGCTACAAATTTTTAAAAACGTTGCTAAAAAATAAATATTCCCGACAAAATAATAAAAAACGTCGCTAATTAATATTTATATTCTGTGACGATAATATTAAATGTCGCGAATTAAATATTTTGACTTTATTTTTATTTATATTTTATATTATTTTTTTTGTGACGAATTAAAACTATTCGCGACAAAAATATTTTGTCGCAAAAAATATCAACTTCCTCCATTTTTCTCGCGCCAACAAATATTTGATTTTGAATTACCTTTTCGCAACGTTTTTTAAAAAATGTCGCCAAAAAAATTGCCAAAAATACTATTTGCGACAAAAATATTAAATTGTCGCGGAAAGTTCATTTTTTGCGACAAAAAAAAAACGTCGCAATTAATATTCTAATTATAATTTAAAATTACAAATTAAATTCTAATTTGCGATGAATATTAAAACGTTGCGAAATAATAATTTTATTTAATAAAAAATAAAATTTATATTCAGCGTCGAATTTTTAAAAACGTCGCAAAAAAATACCTATTCTTGACAAAATAATAAAAAATGTTGCTAATTAATATTAATTAAAATTTATATTCTACGACGATAATATTAAATTTCGCAAATTAAATATTTTGACTTTATTTTGATTTTGATTTTATATATTGTTTTTGGGACGAATTGAAACTATCCATGACAAAAAAATTTTGTCGCAAAAATTATTAACTCCCACCATTGTTCTCGCGCCAAAACAATTTGGTGGGAATCACCTTTTTCGCGACGTTTTTCAGAAAATGTCGCAAAAAAATTGCCAAAAACACTATTTGCGACAAAATATTAAATCATCGGGGAAAGTTCATTTTTTGCGACAAAAAAAAATGTCGCAATTATTATTCTAATTCTAATTTAAAATTACAAATTAAATTCTAATTTGCGACGAGTATTAAAACATCGCAAAAAAATAATTATTCCTGACAAAATAATAAAAAACGTTGGTAATTAATATTAATTAAAATTTATATTCTGCGACAATAATATTAAAGGTCGCGAATTAAATATTTTAACTTTATTTTTATTTTAATTTTATATTATTTTTTTTTGTAACGAATTAAAACTATTCGCACACAAAAAAATTTTGTTGCAAAAAATATCAATTCCCGTCATTTTTCTAGCACCAAAAAAATTTGGTGGGAATCACATTTTCGCGACGTTTTCTAAAAAACGTCACAAAAAAATATGCCAAAAACACTATTTACAACAAAAATATTTAATCATCGCGGAAAGTATATTTTTTGTGACTAAAAAAAAAGTCACAAAAAATGATTTTTGTTGTAGTGAATATATATCCTATCACTATGGTATATTCACAAGGTGAAGTGATTAATTAAAAGAATCAAAACTAATATTTATCGATTTGTTTTATTTTGAAGTAATTTTTGCTAAAACTATAATGTAATAGATTTATTTTATACTCTCTTGACTTATAATTGTAGATAATACTTAAAAAATACTCATTTGTTTTTGAAGTAGTATGAATATTTATTAATATATTGTATGGTATGTGAATTTGAAAGGAAATGTTAAAAATTCAACTCAAAAATTATATATGTTGATTTAACACAAAATTATCCGTTAAGTATCCTAATATTTAATTATTATCGGATACGTTGGAGGTGTAGTCGATACGTATCCGACGAGTATCGTATTCGATGCGATAACCGATACGGATACGCCGACCTCGACGAAATATCCGTACTTCATAGTCTCTAATCATATAGTGTGAATATTTAGACTAACTTCATAATAATAAATAATTATCAATTTTTTCGTAGACGCGTAGTATACATATATAATTTAAATGATTGTTTTCATCTCAGTTGCTCTTTTTCAAATCTTTTATGTATATTTTACTTTTATTATTATATTTTGAGTACTACTTTAATATGTTTACTCTTGGTAATTATATGTTCTCTCATAATATAAGAAACTTAATAGTCAAATTTTTAAGCTTGTTAATCACATATTTGTTGTTTAGTAGTAGATACGATTTAAAAAAGTGTCGGACAAATGTCTGAAATTAAAATTTGTCATTAATTATAAAAACAGATAAAAGAGTATCGGACAAACGTCTGAGAAATGTCGGTGTCCGACATTGATACGTCACCTTTTTCATAGTGTCCGTGCTTCATAGCTTGTGGCACTATAGTGGGTGCCTGAAGGATAATGATGATAGTCATGCTTCAACCTTGCCTACTCAAAAAGGGTGTGGAGTTAATGACATGGAAAACAGGAGCTGATTTCTTCCCTTTTGTTTCTGTGAATGAGTGTGGAGTTAATGGCATGGAAAGTAGGAGAATAATTTTTCCCTTTGTTGTTTAGGGAAGAGAACTAAGAAAACTAATTTTATGGGTTGAATACCCCAAAAACACCCAGTGACACAAGTCGGTCTTATGATGGATGATCTTTGGTGAATGAATGAAGGTCTTTGGCATTATGTTGTTTTGGGTCAAAATACTCATAGAACTTCAACAATAAGCATGCTAGTGGATTCCTCATGTGAAAACTTTAAGCCAAGAATTGCCAAAGTGGAAACCATTTTTCCCAGGGTGGGTGTTAATGTGTTAAGAGTATTTTGCACGTAAAAAATTAACTTGAGAATTTTGTGGAGTGACATCTTGAGCACTTCGTAATCTTCAGAGTAAGAATTATTGCCAGATACCAATATTAATGTAGTGTTATATGGTCCTTCAAAAATCCCCTCCCCACCCTACAAACACTTTCTAGGAGAAGTCAGGGTACCAGAGCTCTGTTGTATACTAGTAGGACTACGGTAAAGGATCGAGGCTGATTAGTAAAAACTTGAGGCCCATGACGTTGCAATATTTCAGGCTGCATTTTCACTCAGATCCATTGGTGTTTTCCTGTTTTTTTTTTTCAATAACGGATGATCATGCCAACCATGTGTTCTTTGGACTTATGACTGCACCGCAAATTTGGGATATGCTCATACACATCTTCAAACCATACACATTGGGTAAATCAGAGTTCTCTAGCAAGTCGGACTTGAGACCATGACCAAATAAATTATAAAAGTCTTGCCTCCCAAGCTACCATAAACATTATGGGGTTGTCTTACTTCTGTTCTTTGCAGAACTTCTTGTCCATAGATTTTTACCCTAGTTTCAACAAGATGCCACTCTTAACTCAAAGTGTATTCACTTTCATTTTGAAGGTGGAAGCTATGGTGGATAAGACCATCTGTGCCTTGTCTACCGTGTTCATTAGATCATCCGGATCAACTTTCACAGAAGACATTTTGCGGCTTCGGAAGGACTGGGGATCAGCATCACCCTGTGATGAGTACCTCTCTCGGGGTGAAGTGCCGAATTTTATTACAGATGACAAATGAGGGAGATAGTTTTGGCCACTTGTGGCCCTTGTCCTGGTCCACCTTTGCTCCAAGATTTTTTCATTGCTGAAGATGGCTAATTTGGCCTGTATTCTTGTGTATGTTTATAGCATAGGAATCTTTCTTATTAGTATGTCATATATACCTCTTTTTTTTTTTTTTTCACTCTCTCGAGGCACGTTTGAATGTTATTTGCCTTATGGATTGGTGCTTGTGAAATTAGTCTCTCATAATAGCTCACATAGATGATCTTTTGTTTTTTTTGTTTTTTTGTGTTTTTTCTTTTTCTTATCGTTTGGGCTGGGATGTTTTCTTGATAGTATTTTCATGTTTATATAATAGTAATACATAATTCATACAATATAAAAAAACCGTTTATCACAAATTAATAAATAAATTTATTTAAATAGAGTATTTTTTCATTTGACACTACTAATACTCCAATACGAAATCGGTCCACTCAACACGATTAGGATAAACAGTTACCTTCAATATTAGTGTATCTCTGTGTCACTCTCTCGCTTGCCTTCAAATGTGCGCCGATAGGATGGTCTCGTGGCAATATTGGTAGTTCTTCGTCTTCTTCTTCTCCTCTTTGATCTACACGCAAAGTTCGTCCATGGTTCCAAATTTCACCACGACTTCTTCATAAAATCTGAAGGAGTTAGCCCTCACGATGACACGTGTTAGAGCATTAAATAAGCGCACGTGAGATTGACAAAACTAGTCTCATGACAAAGAAGTCATTCACCTAGTCTTGTGATCCAAGCCGAACTGATCAAAGGATTCGGCAAATAAAGAAAGAGTTCGGCCCTCTTTATTACCGAGCTCATAAATCTGGCAACTTAGCAAGGGAAGTGCTCCGCTTGTACCAAGCTAAGTTCTATAGAGTGTTCGGGAAAGCAATTAAAAAGATTGATTTGTGCCGAATCAAGTCTCCAAACTATTTGGCAAAGACCAAGTATGCTCGGCACTCGATATGTTTGAGTTGTTTAAAACAATGGATGAAAAGTTAAATAGTTGCCTAAAATCTAGGCAATCGGATAAACGAAATTGAAGAGATTGAAGATATCAAGAGAAATTGTTGGAGAAGTTTCAGTAACTTCCAAAACTCAACTATTGAATTAAAGGAAAGTGTGCCTCAACTACTGAATTAAAGGAAAGTGCGCCACCTTGAATTTAAAATCGTGGAAACCCTAAGGGGATAATAACCTATAAAAAGCGCAGAAGAGATCTAAGGGAAAAGTTACGCTGAACACTCTTGGTTTTCGTGTAATTCTTTTTGTTTTATTACTGATTTAAGTATCGGAGTATTTGTTCTATTACTGACTTAAGTATCGGAGTATCTTCAATCGAAACACTTCGATCTTGAATAATTTGTTCCTTTTTGCAAGAAAAAGATTGAGAGATAGGTAGGATTCTTTTCCAGAAATCGCAACACAAATTCACTGTTAAGAGGTATTACCAATTTTTTTTGCCTCTACAAAATCATCCTCAGAGTTGACGAACTGCGAATATGAACTGATCTTTTTTGAATAGATTTCATATCATTCAATCACGACTGTGGTTTTTTTGGTTGTTTGTTTATTGGAAATCGAACAATCACTTATTTATTTTAGGGTTTTGCAACTGCCTTCAAATTCTTCATTTTGTGGTTATTCAAGACAAGTAAAACAACATACTACGCATATAAGATTGACTGTACTGTGGTTGAGAGATTGTATCATGAGAGCTAGGTTGATAGTGTTTCCGATCAGAGGGAGGAACTGGTGCTTTAGCAGATCGATTGACCAGTCCGTTTTGGACTCTCAGTATTCCCAAACTCCTTCCACGTTCAAACAACTCTGGATGAAGATCTCATCCTCTGAGAAAGCCACCGACTCCAATGCCGAGCTGCTTATTGATTTCGTTGCTAATAAGGTCACACACTGTGTCCTTCATTATCTTCTCTTGTTACCGTATGTTTTTGTAATGCAAAAATACGTGGGACGTTTGGTTCGTTCTATATTTTCATATTCTGATGTTCAGATATTTCGACATTTAATATGTAGATGAATAGGGCCTGGACTGGTCTTGAAAAAGCACCACCTGGATGTTTCAAAAACAAGATTCATGGGTAAATTTCACTTCATATTAGTTACCCCTGAAAATGTTTGAACGTGGAATAGGTCTTAATGTTACTGTATTTACCATTACCGAATCTAATCTAATTCCTTTGTTAGGTTGGGATCACGCCTCTTGGCTGGCGTTAGGCCTTCTGAGATTTTCTTGAAATCTATATCTAAGGAGGTATTTGAGTTCACAAAATTCAGCTTAATTAACGCTCCTTGTGTCAGTTATCTATTCGAAGTTCAATCACTTGTGTCAATCACGAAACAAGTGAGAATATTTAATCTGCAATATATATCAGTTATCTATCGAAAGTTCAATCACTTCTCGCCTTTTCCTATTCTCATATTTATATTGATAGTGTCAGTGGTGGGTCATTAGAGTTTTAATAGTTTCTTGACAGGACAGTACAGATAGAGCAAAATCATTGGCCTGAAACTTTTTGGGGATAGAGTTTAATGAAATTATTCTTATTCTTAATTTTCTGATATCCCTTGATTAGTCGGTTTGTTGAAAATTTGGTTATTTGTGTAGTCCTTGTTTTTGATGGGATTAAAAGTCATTTTGTTTATTTTTAAAATTTGAATTGTAAACTATTTTATTATATAAGATATTTATGAGTCTGGGTGCATGAGAATGAACAGTTTCAATTTTTCTGGGCATAGAACTTCACATAAAACCGTTGAACAGTTTCAATTTTAATTGTGAATTATGAAATTTGTTCTATATGAAAGGGCTATTAATTGAGCACTCATAAGAAATATTGGTGCTTGACAATTTAGCATTGGAATGACTTGAAAACTGCAGTTGTTTACCCGATGAAAATGTTTAGTTAACCGTTGTCATGTAATATGGAGTTGCGTTCCTCAATTTGTGTACAAAAATAACTTGTAATCTGTGCACTAAAAAACTTTGGCAAATGCTATTTGATGATGCACAAATCGGTCTCGTGCAAAATCAACAATCAAGAATATGAATAGAAGCAATCAATGAACACTAACACAGACAAGTAATTGTAAAACAGTAAAGAAAGAGTTAACACAGGGATTTATAGTGATTCGGTCCAGGTGACCTACTTCACTTTCAAGAATGACAGCAGGGGCTAGGAGTCTTTATTAATGAATAATGTAATCGAGAGAGTAACTCTGGATGTATTACAATATTTTTGGAGAGGGAGAGAGATGATGTGTATAAGGGGAGGTGTGGAGGTTTCAGAGGCATACCCTCAATATTGAGAGGGTGTTCATTATATAGTTATGGTAAGACAGTGACGGGAGTGAGAGGTCTTCCACAATTTTGGTAAGTACAATCTTAGTAGGATTAGATCTCTGTATCTCGATATTTTCTCACTCGTGTCCCTATTCCGTCGGAGGATGATCCTGAGCTGGTCCTTGAATTTGAATCGGAGTAAGCTTGGGCTTGCGTTGGAGTTAAGAGGACAAAAGAGGAAGAACCAGGAGGGTCTGGCCATGGGCGGCGCCCCCTTGGGCATTGGCCTTTGGTGTCTTGGCTCCACTTGACTCCTTGTTGATTTACGGCCTCATGACTCCTTGTTGATTTACGAGCAGGTCCAACTCCCTTTGGGCTCTCGTGACTTGGACTCCTCAGTTGATCTAGCCTCGATTGAATTTTTATTGGGCCTTCTCAATTCATTTAGATTGGACTTGGTCCAGTGAAATTTGGGCTCATCACTATTTTGGTCGTTTCTTGATTAAACATAAGTCTGTTTCTCAACAATCTCTAACCAAGCCTCATTTATTATATGAAATTTAACATGTACAAATTCCTATTTACATTTAAAAAAGATATGCAATTGAATTGATTCTTGTTTTTTTTTTAAAAAAGAGTCCTCTAACAATGATGTAGTGGATGACGGGAGATATAAATAGATCACTGTCTATAAGTATAAAGAATAAAAATACTCTGAATTCATAGAGAAAAAGAAGAGAATGACTCTTGCTCATAGTACATAAGAGAATATATACAAGAATGACCAAAACTCTAATAGTCCCCATAATAGAGGTAAAATTCTTAATTATATGAAAATTACAAAAAATAAAAAATTACAATATAACAAATTAATACAAAAGTACTTGTAGTTTGAAATCCAACAAAACTGACGGCACTGAATTTGAAATTTTTTATGATTTATTATTAATTTTTAAATTTTTTCATACAACGGCAAAAATGAGATTTTGAAGGCTTAAACGATAGAATTTGGCCCAAAACTGAAAGAGTTCACGACAAAACGAAGAATTTTGATCGTTGGCCTGATCAGGATCAAAAACTAATAGTCTCAATTAATTTCGAGTCCAAACTATTTTATGTTTACTATCACTTTTGTACTTTTCTTTAGACGTTAGACGGATGAAGGTCTTTCTGCTCCAACTAATTAGCTGCCACCTATTGTACTTCAGTAACAATCTGATTGCAAAGTCACTGGACCATGCTAATGGTTAGCTCCCAAGATTGCCAACAAGTTGTAGATCCTTTGATAATTAAAGACGCTTTCACTTTTCCACTCACACTTGCTCCAAGTTGGCATTGGCACCAATTAAAGTTGGAATCTTTTTGTCAAAATAGTGATTTTATAACTTTATTAGCAATAATATTTGCTTAAAACATTTTACAATACTAAAAATCGAGCATTGATAGTATAATATTTTTATTTTAAATAATAATTTATATTTTATTTTTTTAATTACATAATTTTAAATTAAAGTGAATAAAAAGAAAATAAGTGAGAGATAAATGTGGATTATTGAGATTGTCTGGTATTTAGAAGTGTGTTGGTTGAGTTATCCAATATAGAAAATAATATTTTTGAGCAAAAAAAAATATTTAGAATGAATTTTATGCTATTAGATCAAAATAGATGAAAATTAAATCAATTATGATAATGTTATGGTTTTATAAGTTAAGAATTTAATTTTCTAACTGTAATATTAAGGATAAAACTGTGTTGTCCAAATTTATTTACTAAATCCAATATCCCAAATGATGTGTTAAAATCATATGTATTGAATGGTTGGTGGAGTCAATGAACTCTATTGATTCAACCACCCACAATCATAAAAGCATGTTGTAATCATTTTTAAAAATAAAAAATAAAAATGTGTTTGCAAAACAAACTTTTTGTAGAACACGTAAGTGTTTTGAATTCATGCTTTTGCATTGAAGATTTTATACTATGCTTTTATAGAAAGTCCTATAAATTAAAAATAAGTTAAAAATTACTATAAAAAAGTAATAAAGCTAGAAAAATATTAGTTTAAAAATGGATCTTAAAACTTGGTTTAGCAATATGGTAATTTTAGAGTTTCAAAAAAAAAATCAGTATCGTAATAAAAATTATTATTTTTAAAAAATAAATTATAATTAATTGAGATAATTCATAATCGATCATGAAATATTAAGATTTATCATTAATTACTTGAATGATTTGTAACTTATTCTTTACAAGTCCTAATTTTTCTTTTGCCAGTTGTAATTTGACCTTTAAAAATTATAATTTTTATAATTGATCATAATATTTTAGAATCCAAAAAATTATAACTTAAAATAAAAAAATAAAAAAAAAGAAAGAAAGAAAAACCACCTTGGGTGCCATAGCATTTCCTGAACTACAAGTCAAAGTTACCACGCAGGTCTGGAACATCTAAATCATGGCAGACATGGTGGTCCAATTAATTGAAAGAATTCATTACCTTGGCCACAAATTCTATTCCCTCGGTACCAGGATAGGTTCAGAACTGTGGTCATTAGATTCCTTTAAAAGCCTGATCCACCACTTCAAGGGGGCATTGAATGTCCATGTGAGCTAGATACACGATGGCCTCAACCTTACAATTTCATTTGGGTAAATTGTATTTTGACCCCTCAACTGTGATATTTATCTCACTCTGTCCCTTAAACTATTGTATTTCTCACAGTATATCTTCAATTACCTAACTAAGTTTCACACTGCCCCAAAAGCAAATTTGGCCCTTGTCTTTTGGACGAAAGATGACATAATTATAGGTGCAATGTGAATAACATGATAATTGAAGGTCGCTGCTCAACCAATCTTCATCCATCTGATAAGGTCTTGTGTTTGTCCATGGCTGGTAATTGCACTCAAGATCACCCTTCTTCTTCTTTTTCATCTTCATCTTCAACACCTCACTGGAAGTATGATGTCTTCCTGAGTTTTAGAGGTGAAGATACATGAAAAAATTTCACCGATCGTCTTTACACTGCTTTGGTTGAAGTTGGTATTCACATCTTTAGGGATGATGATGAACTACCACAAGGAAAAGAAATTTCAGTGGAACTATTGAAAGCAATTCGAGAGTCAAATATTTCTATTATCGTGTTCTCGAAGAACTATGTTTCTTCCCGATGGTGTCTGGATGAGCTTGTAGAGATTCTCGAATGCAGAAAAATGATAGGGCAATTGATTCTTCCTGTAATTTATGATGTCGATCCATCCCAAGTACGCAAGCAAACGGGGAGCGTTGCTGAAGCGTTTGCAAGGCATGTAGAGCACTTTGCAAGCAAACTTGTGGTGGTGGAGAGGTGGAGAGCAGCACTTACTGAAGTTGCAAATTTATCAGGGTGGGATTTGCAGAATGTTGCAAATGGGTAATCTCTATTTCTATTCCTTGTGGGCTTATCTCTATTTGTTATAATTACCTTGTTGGGGGTGAAATTAAAATTTTATCATGAAGAGGTCAAACAAAAACAATAACATAGTGAAGAATTTTATTAAATGAGGTCATTCGAGAAGTTACTATTAGTATTATATTCTTAATCATAAAGACCCTAGTATTATATGATACTATATATCTAGTAAAAATATAGTTCATAAAATCCAAAAATTTCTTAGTTACTTACATTAGGAAATCACATACTATCATAAATATTTGTAACAATTTTTATGACATGATGTCATCCAAAAATTATTTATGACATGATGTAACAATTTTAAATTACATACTATCATAAATATTAGTTCCACCTAATATTAGTCGTGATTTAGTGCATTATTCATGTTGTATGTCACATTTTGTAATTTTATTTTGCAACATCTTTCCTTTTTTTTTTTTCCTGTGGGTTATCACTTTTTTTTCCTGCTACAAGAACCCACTCGTCCATATGATCAATATCCCTAAAGGGTTTTTGAAAACCTATAAGGATACATATATAGAATTCTTAAAAACCTATTGGGGAATAGGGTAAATTCTGAAAAATGGGGTTGGGGGGTGGGGGATAGGGTAAATTCTGAAACACAACTTTAGAGCCAATATTACTACACGAATTCACCTCTTTTTTTCATCCGCAAACCAGGTGTAGTAAAGAATTTTTTCATCCGCAAATGTGTTTGTCGATGGAAAAAAAAGGTGAATTTGACACTTTTTGGCGTCTACAAATTTGCCGATGCAAAAGCTTGATTAT